GTCTCTAGTGGAAATAAACTGCATTGAAGATGGTAAATTTGCATTTTAGAGGTAAAATACAAGTACTATTGATGTTTATTTGACTGTATGTTCTTATTTCTCTTTTTTTCTCCCCCCTCCATCTCTGTAAAGTTCAGAGTTACATCGTTGTGGCTTTTATAGTGCTGAGATTTGACTAGTATCAAATGTATTTTTTATGTGTAGAATGCCTATTTATTTAAATTAGGAGTATATTTAAGAGATGAGCGGGTTAGAAATTTTCTTCTAAGTTCGTGATAGAGTTACTCACAAGCTGTCCATGATACTATTGTGGGTTTTCAGAGTAGAGCGTTCAGCTGGTTTCCAAAGTCAGGCTTAAATTTCCTTGTGTGCTTTTGAAATTCCCATAGGTCCTATTAACTGTATGGTAAAGGCACAGAGAAGGTCCAGCTTGGTCAGGCTGCTTCTGCTAGGCCAGTATGTAGCTGAGAGGATTACACCTGAACTGTACTGTATAGAGGACAAGCTGCAAACTGAACGAAACAAATTTGTAGGATGAGTAAAAATGTAGAAACTGTTAATGTTGGCTCTATATATGCAATACTTTTAAAACAAATGCCTGTTAAAATTCAGCTGTGTATCTTTTAGTTTAAATGTTAGAGCACAGAGATTTTTGGGAAGTGAAACTGCAGCAAAACCTAGTAGTAGAGGCTTGCCTTTGTTTCCTTTTGCAGAAGAGTTAACAGTATTAGTGTTTGAATATATTTGAGAATGTAGTTGAAATAAGTAAGGGATGTGAAGGGCAATGAGAAACCTTCTGCAGGTATGCCAATAATAATAGGATGACCAGAGAAAATGTGGGCCTGATACTTAGTGATGTAAGAGACCTAGTGACAAAAGATTGAGGACATCCTCTTTGCCTTGGTCTTTACTTGCACGGTCTGTTCTCGGGCTTGCCAGATCCCTGAGCCTACTGGCAGAGTCAGGAGGAGTGAAGTACTTCTCTAGCTATGGTGGAGGAAGATCAAGTGAGCGGCAGGCTGGTTGTATGTAAGCCACATATAGACAAGTCTGGGGGACCGAACGGGATGCGTCTGAGAGAGCTGGGCAAGGTCATTGTGAGTATGGTCTCTGAAGAGATGTGGCTTTTGGGGTGGGGGAGGGTCCCAGTAACTGGAAAAAAGGAAACGCCGCACGTCCTCTTCAGGACAGAGGATGTGGGGAAACTACAGGCAAGTCAGCCTAAGCCTAGCCTTCAGGAAGATTATGGAGCAAATCGTATGGCAGGCCATTTCTAGGCGCTTGTAGGATAATAAGGTGACTGGGAACAGCCAGTATAGATTTACCAAAGGCTGATCATGTGTCACCTCTCTGATTGCCTTCTCTGATGAGATGAGTGGCTCGGTGGACAAAATGAATGTTATTTACCTTGACTGTAGCAAAGCTTTTGACATGGTCTTCCGTAGTACCTCTGTGACCAAGTTGGAGAGCGGTGGACTACATGGGTGGACGGTAACATGCGTGGGCAGCTGGGCTCAGAGGGTGGTCAGCTGTTCAAAGTCCAACTTTGGATGGTTACTAGGGGCTGATCCTGTTCAATGTCTTCATTAGCAACTTGGATGCAGGACAGAAGGCAACCTCATCAAGTTTGTGGATGATAACAAATTGGCGGGGGGTAGTCAAAACGCTAAAGCGTAGGCCTTCTGTTCAGTGAGGTCTTGACAGCTTGGCGAAATGGTTTGACAGAAATCTCAGTCTTGCACCTTGGGCAGAGTGATGCCATGCAACGATAGTGGCTAGAACAGATTGGCTAGAAAGCAGCTTTGCAGAGAAGGACCCTAGTGGACAACAGGTTGAAGATAAGTCAACAGTGTGCCCCTGTGGTAAAAAGGCCAACGTAGTGGCTAGACCATAATCAGTAGGTCAAGTGTATATTTATGAATGTACAGTTTTTTAACCTCTGTCTCTTTAAAGTCAGATACTTTGGAACATCCTAACATGGTGTGGGAAGTGAAGACAAATCAAATGCCTAATGCTGTTCAGAAACTGCTTTTGGTAGTGGACAAGAGAACTTCGGGGATGAATGAGTCACTGGAGTTGCTGAAGTGTAATGAAAATCTGCCATCTTCTCCTGGATATGCATCCTGTGATGAGCACATGGAACTTGGTAAATAACCTGATTCCTTCAGAAGGAGCCAAATTCTGAAGTTGATCCCATTGTAGTTTTCTTAGAGTGAAGTTATTGGAAGCTGACTGAATGAGATTATTTGTGTTCAACTTGGGTAGAGCAGGGAATGTTCCAGTGATTAGTAACACATGAAAGTCTTAGTTTACAGTCGATTTTTCCCACATTTCCAGTTCTGACACACTGGCCTGTCGACATAAATGTGTTCGTTGAACTCAAAGCTACAAGTTTCTTCTCGTAATCTCCAGGGGAGTTTTGTTTGGCCCAGGAATAACAAACGGAAAGCTCCGGAGCTCCTCCTAAAGGGGAATTCTGCTATTTTGGATCAACTCCAAATAGAGATTTTGGGGAAGAGGAATGTTTAGCTTCAGTTGTTACATATTAGAGAAAAACAGCACATGTTATTAAGTATTGATGTAATCAATGAAATCTTAACACATTTAATTGAAGCCATAGAGTAATTAAGAACAATGATACTTAGTTACACAAGAGTATGTAATACAGACTTCTGTTAATAAGCTGGGCACTGGCCTCTCTTCTGCTGTCCTGTATAACACGTGAAATGTTCAGATTGTTGGTAGTAGTTCACCCCTACCAGGCTGCATACCCAGCTTTCGTGACTTGTGAAGTACTTAATTCCAGTTCAGTGGTGGAAACGTGGAAAGCTTTAACCCTGTACAGCCTCTTGATGTTGACAGTTTTCAGTGGCATACTTGTTAGGCCAGATTAATTTAGTTGCCTTTTGTTGAATCTATACTAGCATTACAGTAAAGCAGGTTGCCACATTTGCAGAATTCTGCAGTGTGGTTTTGTGTTAACTAGTCGGTCTAGTAAAAACTTAAAAAACATGTAATCAGAAGTGCATTTTTGTCTAGAGTTACTTGGCATTTTTTGTTAAAAATGCTTGTATGAATGAATAACCGACTGGAGCTTTGGTCATTTCTGTGGTCCTTTTGAAAGTATTATGATTAGGATTTGTGAAATATTGGTAATTGTGGTATGAGGAAAAGAAAAGTTACTTTGTTCAGGTTACTTCTCAATTTTTATTTGAGAGATTGTTTGTCAAGTATAATTTAGCAGTGTGTATAGTTACGGTAATTTGTGTATTTGTTCGTAGATGATCTTCCTGAACTACAGGCTGTGCAGACAGATTCTACTCCACCTGCACTTTTTCAGCTTAATGCAGATATTTCACATCAAGAATGTTCAAGGCCTTCATGGAACCAACATACCTCAAACAGCAATTCAGAAAGTGCTTATTCGTGTGAGAACGGGGTGAACTGGTTGACAGAATTGGCAAATATAGCCACAAGTCCTCAGAGTCCTTTGATGCAGTGCTCTTTTTATAACAGGTACTGACTTCCATTTCAAATTTTAGCCCTCTAATGTGTTACAGCTTCAGAAACATTTTCTCTCCTCTCCAAGCTCTCTGAATTTGAACTGGAGCCCTATTTTTGATTGTCATCTTCCTGTATAGTAACTTTATTCTTTTGGTAGAAGATTGCGCGGGACTTGTTTCAGAACCTGTTGCAAAAGCTTCTTAATTGCCAGCCAGGAATGAGGTTGGAACAATATTAAGGGCATTCCTTAACCACAGGAAGCTCAGAAACTACGAGCATTTACTTTGTGTGAAGCAGTGGATGAAAAGTTGCAATGAATTTGCTATGCTAAATTCTGTATTTGCTAATGCACAGACTTCAGAATTTTTTAAAAGAGCTAATTGGAAATTTAATGCAATGTACTGTTTACTGATATTGTTTCAGATGTGTAATCTACACGTTCCATAAGGCTATAAGAAGCAGTATGGGATCTTGAATTTTCTCCGCTTCACCTTTTGTTGTAGAGCTTTGGTCTTTGGTTTATGATGAGAAAAGTAGATGCAGTACTGTTAATAGCAATGCAGTTGCAGTTTAATCATTGTGACAGAGCAAGTGTCCATATGCAAGTCAGGGTACTCTCAGAATGGGGCATTAAGTTCAAGATGTTTGTAAAAACTCGGGCGTTATGCCAACGAGCTGCTGGTGTGGAAGTGGTACTGTCGTTCCAGTGGCGTATAGAAGCTGTGCAGCAATCGTGCTAAATACTCCCTTTGCCTGAGCTTGTACCCTTTAGTCATCCTATTTGAATATTGATGTGTGGGAAGTTCGGTTGGTATTTGGCTCGTGGAGACAGAAATATTTGGTCAAATTAAATTTTTCCTGCCTAAGTTGAAAACTACGTTGATTGTCTCCTCTGACTCTTTCCTCAGACTGCAGTGTAGGTTCAGCTTTAATGGCTGTGCACACCGTAAGCCATCTGCAGTGAACAGTCACTTACTTACACCTGCAGAATAGCTGCTGCTTTTGAATGGAAAGAGTTTAATAATTCAGATATGGACCAGCATAGTTTTTTAGTGTACACAGTGTACATTCACAATTTGGATTCTAGCAGGATATTTATATGCACAAACGACTGTGGATTTAATTTTAAAATACGAAAGGTCACTGAAGAGAAAGAGTTTACAGTAATGCTAGCTAAATCTTGTGCTTCCCTAATCTGAGATACTTTACAATTGCTTTGCATTGTAGATCATCTCCTGTTCACATAATAGCTACAAGCAAAAGTTTACATTCCTACGCACGTCCTCCACCAGGATCCTCAAAGAATGATCCGAACTTCTCCAAGAATGATTTGGATGAAACACCAGTCAGACATGAAAGAGTGAGTTGTCCTGAACCGTTTCTAACATAAACAAAGAAGCAAGAGTAATGGGTTAAGCTTTTCAAAGAGAGGTACTAGTTAAAAAAAATGCAGCTGCTCACTTTTAATACCATTTGTATGTAAGCTAGATTTGTTGTTATCTTTCTTTTTAACAAACAGAATGGGCTTTTTTGAGCTGCATGATACAGATAAGTCTATGTTATAAAGAGATCGCGTTCTAAAAGCGCTCTGCTTCTCTCGTATTACCTTCTGCAGCCAGGATTTAAAGTTACTGTATTAATTCTTGTTTGCGATCTTGAAAAGGAAGTACGGAGGCATCTCCTTTTTGATGTACAAAAATTATCAGGCTCATTTCTCCTTTTGTAGCTATTAATTTGTGCCTGAACCTGGTCTGTTAAACCACTCGGAGAGACTTGATTTTTATCTAGAACAGAATTGGCCTGATACCTTTCCAGTTATTTGACCACAGAATAACGTGTGCTTTGAGTGGTTCCTCTGGATGACCGCAGCGGAGTGATAGCTTGTGAAAGGCCTATACCTAAGCCTAAAAGTGATCTGTCCATAGGGGCCCAAATGAATCTCAGATAAAAGATGAAAAATAAGAATTTCGGGATAGCACATTTCAAGGAGAGGGGAGAAAATACTCGATTCACGTTTACTGCATTGCTTGAGTGAGTCTTACCCTCATTTTGTATTCCTATTTGAACTTGATGCAGAGATGTGACTCAGATGCAGATTTGAGAGTGTGCCTAAATATATATGGGACCAGCCCTAAAATCTTTTACATTCAAATATCAACACCATTTTGTTTGTTGTTTTTTTTTTTTTGATAGGCAAACAGTGAATCAGAATCTGGCATTTTCTGCATGTCATCGCTTTCAGATGATGATGATTTAGGATGGTGCCATTCTTGGCCCTCAACTGTTTGGCACTGTTTTCTAAAAGGTAAAAAAAACCCTCGTGCATTGTTGAGTAAGTGTTTGTTTTGCCTTTTCTTTTTTATAACAGAGCCTTTTTTACGTTACACTGATCGTTATTCTTTTTTTTCTTCAAAAAAATCCATTAGGCTCACGCTTATGTTTTCATAAAGGACGCAATAAAGAATGGCAGGACGTTGAAGATTTTGCAAGATCTGAAAGCAATGGAAATGAGGAGAATCTCCCAGTGGGTGCTTACAAGGTAGCTGTTAGTTCTAATAAAGTCATTTCAGCAGCTGTAGCAGAAGATGTAGTTTGTAATGTTATCCCTGTGCCTTTATATACTGTCTCAAGTGGTTTATGGAAGACAGGTTTACACTGAACCTGTCTAATGCTGATCACTGTATTATTTGAGTATCTGGCCGTAAAGCAATTGAACTGAATGCATTTAGGCATGATTTGAATGTCGCGTCGTCTTTACTGATTTACAGAGAGGGCACTTAAAATGTTGGTGCTCATTAATACGCCATTAGATGATGAATATACATTTGCAAAATACACAGGTTTACGCTTTTCCTCGGGGCAAAAGTCTGAACTGCAATGTATGTTCACAGGGCTATGGTTCTGATGGTTTGAAGCTGATATCTCACGAAGAAAGCATTTCCTTTGGTGAGTCAGTGCTGAAGCTGACTTTTGATCCTGGCACAGTGGAAGATGGCTTGCTTACAGTAGAGTGCAGACTCGATCATCCTTTTTATGTTAAAAACAAAGGTACGAAATTACTACAAGTATGGCAACATGCTTGGTTTTCTATTAAAGCACTCCAAGAGAGTAGTTGCAAGTTTTACTGCCATCCTGTGTTGCTCAAGAAATTGATATTAGCAGTGTTGTAGAATCAATTGACTGACTTTGTAAAGAAAAATAGAATTTGAAAGAACAAAACTGTAAAAATAACATATTTTATGTCTTTTGAGCGAAGATTTAGTCAAATGTAATTATGTAAATGGAGCGCAGGAAAACATATAGTGGGGGGAGAAAGGAAAGCTGCAAATAAGGAAGGCTTTTCTCACTTGCTAAAAATAGAACTTTTGATGGTGCAGGTTTCCAGTTTTTGATTGCTTTTTTGCTAGAATGAGATTCCACTTGAGATAACAATTAACTATTTGTAAGAATTCCCTAAGTAAGTGTTTCTAATTTTTCTTTTGGGTGAAAGAAGCTGTATCTGAACATTTTTATAAAATTATTCCATTTAGATATATAGGATTGCTCCAGTTAAGAATTAGAGAGATTGTCTGGCCGTTTGTCTAATTTAACTCTTTACCACTTCAGGTTGGTCATCTTTTTATCCAAGCTTGACTGTGGTACAGCATGGCATTCCATGCTGTGAAATGCATCTTGGAGATCTGTGTCTACCTCCTGGACACCCTGATGCCATTAACTTTGATGATTCAGGTGTTTTTGATACATTTAAAAGGTAATTTTTGGATAAAGTGGCCTCAGCAGTTTTCGTATTTAATGAGTTAGGCATCTTAAGTCTACAAGAATTTGAAACATACATAGAGCAAAGAGTGATACGAGACACAAGTGAGAGGGGAAAATGGAGGCTGAATATCAGGAGAGCTGTGTAGTAGTGTGCTCTGCTGCACTGTGAAGTAAGACCTTGGAGTGAAAGAACTCTTCAGCCTCTCTTTATGGTAGTACAAAACAGATTAGATAAAGCAGTAGAGGATTTATGATCTGTAAGAATTCTTTAGGTAAAGTGTGCTGGATTTGAATGTTTTAATACAGTTTTCCCACAATAATACGTGTTTGCCAGCTATTAATGTATGCTTTGTGTGCAGCTGGGCATCTCCTGAGTAGCATGTTAGTAACTAATGCATATATTACAGCGTCAGAAGACAGCAGAACCTACAAAAATAATTAATAAGAACAAATTAGGAAAGCACTCTATGTCATTCTCTTCTAATATAGCAACCATATCTAACTCAAAGGTTTGATTAACTTTGAGGTGTGCCTTGCTTTGAGCAGGAGGTTGGACCAGATAGCCCTCAGAGACTGGGCCCAACCTGAATTACTCTATTTCCTTTCTTAGGATATTAGTATTACTCATAAGATTTTTCTGTACTCTTTTGAGGTTTCTAGGTTAAGCAGAAGCTTCTCCTATGAGTTTAGCTCCTTTTTGGCATTTGATTTCAGTCCGGTGGCTTTCTGTTATTTTTTTACAATAGAAAAAATTAATTTAAAATGCTGTTTGCACTTCAAATCTTAAGTGTTCTTGTATGTTTTCAATAGAGAGTGATAGAGAGTGAGTTCATATTGCTTGTCCTCGCGCATTTGCTGTCTGGGGCTTTTTCTGCTTATTTACTCATTCTGAACTGCCTCTGTAGAGAGCTGATAGAATCATTATATTTACATCTTACTGAAGAAATTGGATTTGTGGCGCTTTATTCATCCTGCAGCATAATAGAGCAGTCTGTGGACAATTCAAATTCCTTGTCCCTCTTCTTCGGCAGTAGACAGTAAAGCACTGAGATGGGAGCAGGCAAGCAGCAGCAGTGGGTAACAGGCCAGAAGAACTTGAAAACAAAATCCAGTTGCTGTGTTATGGAAAGGAGATTAGGAAAGGTGAGATTAGGAAAGGTGTTGGACTGCTGGAGAACAGAGAGGTCTTTTCTCATCATCCTGTGAACTGGCCTGCAAGTTTGTCAACATAATCCCTTCTTTATTGCTTTTCACTTTTCCAAGAGATTTTGGGGATGGCCCTTCAGTCTCTGCCTGTGCTCTGGGTTCCACCCCACAGAAAGGGACTGTCTGTGCACTTGGGGGCTGCGCCGCCACTCACGGCGTTTCCTTGCTAATAGTTCCATCCTATTTCAGAAAACAGCTTTTTTTAAAAAAAGTCCTTATTTTTGCCAGATGCTGTGGAACCATAGCCACACTCGGCAGTGAGGGAGAGGAGCCTTTGAGTGATACAGATTTTGTGTTTATGTTATGGTGGTAACTGAGTGTTTAAAATTTATTACTGAATCGCTCCTTCAGAAGTGTGTTTTCCCTGTAGATCATATATAAGAATATAGCACTGTCGTTCTGCCCGCAACTAGTAGTTTCTGAGATCATAACAGATAACTTCTTCTGTAGTGCTTTCCATTAGAGGTTTGGTGGTGGTGGTGGTGGTGGTGATCAAGAAGAAATTGCGATGGTTGGTAGTATTTGCAGTTCTAGACTGTATGGAAACAACTGATGTAAGCTCTTGAAATACCTTGAAATACAGAGGGGTTCTCACATTTTTGTCACTAGAGGGCAGACATTTGTCAGCTTTGAATTCAGTAGTATTCAGTGTGGTGGGTCTCTTAAACAGTGTGTTAATGTCAATGAAAGGTTCATCTCTAAAAGCATTTGAATTTCACTGCCTAGAGCGGTTACTTGTACGTGAGTGTATATAGTATTACTTAATAGGATGGTTTTGTGTTTGTTATTACATATATTTGCAAGTGAACTCAACATTTATATTCCCCAGATTAGTTGTCACTTTCAGTACCTGTCACTGATGAGATTTAGGTTTTGGTAAGGACAGAAGCAAAAAGAAAGAAGCTTATTTCAGAAGAAGATAAAATTTGAAGACAGTGTATAATGATTGGTATACAGTTGGAGAGTTGATAGGACATTGTAGATCTCGCAAAGTTGCGGTCCGCTGCCATATTGAAATAACTCTTAGTTCATCTGCCCTTTCGGTTATTTGTTTTTTTTTTTTTAACTGACGTCTGCATCAAGCACAAATTCACTGTGTCACACAGCAGATACCAGAAAGTTAGTGCAGATTAAGAGTGGAACCGCTATTTAGTTATCGTACATGAAAAATCCTTCAATCATTTTCTGATATGTCTTTTTCTTGTAGTTACGATTTTACACCAATGGATTCCTCTGCAGTTTATGTGCTAAGCAGCATGGCTCGCCAGCGTCGCGCTTCTCTATCTTGTGGAGGAGGATCAAACAACCAAGATGCTGAGAGATCAGAATGCAGTAAAAACTGTACGTCTACGGCATCGTCACATCTTTCCTCCAATTCTTTGTACAGCAAAGCTGGCAAAGGCCACAGCTCAGGGACTGCAAGTACTGTGAGTGCCACTTCTCCAAACAAGTGCAAAAGACCAATGAATGCCTTCATGCTTTTTGCCAAAAAATACAGAGTTGAATACACTCAGATGTATCCAGGGAAAGACAACAGGTAATGGTGTAAAATTCTAATTCTCATGTTACCGTTGAACTAGCAGAATATACATGTCCCATTTTAAAATCTAGAGTGGACTAATTTTGCATTTGAAATAAAATCTGTATGTTGTTCTAATAAGAATCAGTTTGAAAGATGCTTTAAATATTTACAGTATTCAGTAAATTTGACGCACTTAAGCCATTTTTGGCAGACTTACCTTCTCAGAAAGCATTTGGATAAAGCAAATGAGATATGTGTATGTGTGCACAGGCAGAGTCACAAATATACACAGCAGTCTTTGTTTACACCAATGAGAAGTGTTAACGGGAAAAAAAATACCAGGTTCTCCACTCGAGTTGCAATGGAAAAAGGGGAACTTCTGGTTCTTGATAGCCAAGCCATAATTATTGTCTTGACATAATATTGTAAATTATTCAGTGCGGTTACTATCTTTTTTTTTTCTCGATTTGTTTATCTGTTAAAAATGGGGCACTGATTGTTAGGATCTCTGAAGGATCTTAACTGAAACTGTAATGAAGTGTTGCCAAATTTCTGCTTGTCCTAAAAGTACTACTGAACAATCTTCTCAAGCCTGCAGGAAGAGTTGAAGTGCTGTGTGTTTGAGGGGAGGGTTCTTTGTTGGTTTGCTTTTACTTCCGTTTTTGTATATATGCACATGCGTGCCCTATTTTCTTTATAAAGATGTCCATGATGTGTGTTTTAAATAATCTTAAGACTTCATGCTAATTGTGCAGATGTAAATATATAATGAAGGACATGAACATACCCCCATTTTGTAATGTTATACTTGTAACATTATATACAAAAGGAAAACTGTTGCCATGAAAATCACGTTGTCACATAATATTTCTAGTAATAAATCTGGCAAAAGTTAAAGGTGACAGGGATTTGAGAGGGTTTTGGCTGTTACTAAGCGTTCTGGTGGGGAGGCTTTAAACAACGTTGAGAAATTAAATCCTACCATACAAATAACCCATCCCTAGATCCCATCTGGTCTTCCGTGTCATGGCAGTGATGTTCTGCAATGTTTATAGTAATTTCAGTGAAGCAAATCTGCTGTCTTCAAATTCATTGCAACTATCAATGAGAAATAAAATGGAAGTGAACTAGGAAAGTTTACGATGGTTGTATGTTTACTTTTAAAATGCTGATTTCAAATGAATGCAATGAACTGGAGCTGCAGCTGGATGGATGTCAAAATAGTTTGAATATTTCCATGAGCAGGTTTATGTTGAAGGAAGGCAGCAGCGGAACAAGTTACAAATACGTTTTAGAGTGCGGTGCTCCCTGTGCCATTTGAAAGACGGCGCTTTTGAATGCGGTTTCTTGGCATCTCTAAAATACAACGCAGAATAAATCATAGAAGTTAGCGATAATGGATTTTACAGGCATTTCCCTGCTGTTCCTTAAGTGTTGCTGAGGCATTCATTAATGTGTCCCACTTTCAAAGTGTAAGTACACGTAGTTTTCAGATCATGGAGCAGATCGTACAGTTGGTTGTGTGTAGGACCCAGTTCTGTATTCTTGAGTTCTTACGTTTATTACAGTCATTTTATTTTGTTTACGCATACGACAAAGGATAGAACTTGAGTTATTTTGAGCTAAACTGTCTCTGTTCTGAGAAAAAGCAGACATCGGATGATGGCATGTCTGCCAAAAAGATTGTGAGCTTTAAACATCCAAAACGCAGGGCCACACTGACGTGATTCTGAAAGCGTTGGAGACCACAGGGCCGTACTTCAGAGACGCCAACTGGTGTTAGGGCAACATCTCTTTCTCTTCTGGGTATTTGTGCTGTAGCCTTAGTTGGACTTTATCCTGTATTCAGAAATACTTGAATACTTGAATTACTGACAGGAACGCTAATAGCATTTGTTAGTGATGGTTGCACAGGGCCGTGAAATTACCCAGAAGAAACTTCACCTATTCTCAAATGCTATTTTACAATTCGTTACTTTATGACTTTGCTGTAATATAGGTGGTTGTGTCCTCTACATTAGTCTATTGCTAAAATGTTTTCAGGTATCTTTTTAGCATTTGAAGAGGACAAGGCAGCGTACAGAGTACTCTGCGGTACTGATGAGGGAAGGGGCACATAAGGCAGCAGTACAGGAGGGTCCGTTTTTTCTTACTTGTTTCTGGTCAGCAGGCTTGGGTCTTTGTCAGGTTATGTCTGAGGAACAAAGCTTTTGTCTCTGTACCAAATTTTTGAAGCTTTGAGGACATACAGATCTGTACTTACTTTCAGGGCCTCAGTGCAGGTTTATCTCTGGAGGTACAACATTTTTTATGTTTTAAATGCAAAGATTTCAGAAGCTGCTTTTTTATTTGGACGGCTTTTTCAGCAGTCTTCTCTGTCGGGGTCACAGCGCTCTTCTCTGGGGGTGTGAGTGCACAAGTACAAAACAGTGACAAAAAGGGCTGGTTTCTGGTGCTGTTGATGTGCCTCTGGGTGCTGCCAAACATTCAGAAAATATCCTAATTAAACTGGAGCATGTTTACTTCGGATGATAGGCCAAAGATACCGATTCTTAATTCGGAAAGAAAAACAGAAAGTCCATTGCCGAAGAGGCAGACTGTGCAAATGGATTTGCTCTTGAGGGGATCTGGTTGCGAGGAGAGGAGTTTGCTCTGAGGGGTCACCGGAGCGTTTGACAATACGGGCTTAATTGCAGCCTCAGCGGAGTTCTCCCTGTGCTCCCTGAACGCTCTGTAGCTCAGGAAAACCTCCTTTCAGGAGTCACATCCGTTCTCTTGTTGGTATGGAGCAGATCAGCCTTCTGCACGATTGCCATAGGTGAAATGCTTGATGCCATTGTGCTCATCTCGATTCTGTTAGAAAGTCTATGAATAGTGTTACAGCCTGCGAGGAGCTTTTTAAATGTGAAAAAGCAAAGCGCTTAGTTGTATACACCTTTTCTTAAAAGACTGGTATTAAAACTTTCATCGTTGTAATTACGGTCATTGATCAAACAGCCATTTGGAGATTTCATTCTGCAAAAGGATGGAGTTAGTTTTGTGTTAATATTGACATAACATTTGGGAGTGAAGTTAAGCAGTAAGTCATGATAGTATGGGGAAATGCTGTCCAATGGACATGAAGTTTATAAGGAGTAGGAAAACCAGTTCCCATTCAGCTTTTGGAAATAATGACAGGTGTGTTAGAACAAATAGTTCCTCTTTGCATAGGAATATTTGCCTAGGACCTTGCCGTACGTTCTGCCCACCCTTGTTCCCTAGCGCACGTTCACGGTGGAGCAAGCTACCCACATCTATTCAGTGGACACGGGCGTTTACAGTTAATCACATCTTTGTTTGCCTGGTATGTGATTGGTTTGGTAAATGATCTTATAGTACAAACGTAGAACAAAACAAATGTGAATTGCCATGTAGTGGTTTGCATCAGGCTAATTTTTTTTTTTTTTTTAACGTCCCTATTTTGTTAGTTTACACAAGTTGCAGTGTATTCAAATGTACACGCTCTGAAAGGTCCGAACGTGCCTTGCCCCATGCTCGCTTACCACGGCCGTCCCAGCTGTCGTTTAACTGGTAAAGGAAGTATGAGAAGATAATCAGAAACGTGATTGCTTAAGAAAAAGATTCTTTCAAAAGATACAGTTGATCTCTTCTATGTGTATGTGCTTTTTCATGTTTAAGTTAACATCTTTTTTTTAAAGTGCTGAGATCAAAAAATCAGGGGATTTCTTAAAAAAAAAAAAAAAAAAAAAAAAAAACCCAAAAAAAAAAAAAAAAAAAATTCCTTTCCTGACCAGTCTGTAAACGTTCATCTTGCAGAGCCATAAGTGTGATACTTGGTGACAGGTGGAAGAAAATGAAAAACGAAGAAAGACGGATGTACACACTAGAAGCCAAGGCCTTGGCGGAAGAACAGAAACGTTTAAATCCTGACTGTTGGAAACGAAAACGAACAAATTCTGTATGTTTTGTCAAAAAGCTTTTCTCTTTATACAGTTGAATCTGTTCACGTGGCAGCTACAGTGTTTTCTTTTCTGTTCAGAATTTACTCTGCAGTCTACTTCTGTTTCTTTTGTTAGCCCAGACGTTCATTTTATTTTTATTTCCTAGTGTCCTGTAATGTGGTGTTAGACAGTTGCAGGAGACAGATCAAAAGAGGGTTTGTCTCCAGATATTTTGGGGAGTGTCCATGAATTCTGTTGGTCTGGAAGTGAGTAGGCTTGGATAATATAGAGGAAGGGCATCAGACTTTCTGTTTTTCAGTTTAGGAATAAATTTAGTTTATAACATTCATTATTCCTAAATTGAAATCTGTTCATTTCCCCAAGAAGCACTAAAGCTTTCACAGATTCCTTTTCTGATGTGAGTCAGTCATATTTTCCGTTTTCTTCAGTAAAACCTTTTTCTTTGCCCTTTCATAAATTTTTTTGCTGTTAATTTATATGAGTATATATGGAGCTATTGAGGGAGAAAATGTAGTATTTGTAAATTGTAAAAAAAAAAAAAAAAAATACAGTAGGTTACACTTTTTTTTTTTTTTTTTGTGAGGAAGTAAGTTGTTTTCCACTTTGTAGGAGGCCGTCAATTTAAGAGTCTGGAGCAGCATATTAGTAGGCACTGAATGAATTAGGTAAAATAAGGGCTTTCAGCTAATGGATCTCATAAAGATAACATCCAAAAGGGACATTCTGGCAGCCTGCTTGTTAAAACAGAAGAGCATGGTGGAAGAGAAGGTCCAGTAGATGCACAGAGTGCGGTGTACTTCCATCAGCCGTTTTGTGTCGCGTAGGAGAATTGAGTATGTTTGATGTGGCCTTGACAGGTTTAACATTGGATCCTCAACTGTCAGCTTGGGACTTGTTCAGCTTTGAGTGTAAATGAAGGTGGTTTTTCTCAAGAGCGTATGCACATGTTGCTTTAAGGCTGAACAAGAAATGCTCCAGGACTTAGTTGCATCTTTTCTTACTGCTGTACATAGTTAGCGCTAAGTTTTCAATCACTGAGTTGCAGAAGGCTTTACCAAATCCCAGCTGCCAGGAACAAGGTGTATTTCTGTTCAGTATATCATTCTACGTGTTGCACTGTATCCTATTTTAATCAACAGTGACATTTCCTGTTAAATTGTTGTTGTGGTTTTTAGTTAAAATCATTCCATTTATCGGTTCTGTTTTAACACTACTGCATTCTTGGGCGTTGGACTGTGAGATCTGGAGTCCCCTCCTAGATTTGAGGTCATGGAAGCTTAACAGATAATTACTTACAGAGATGAAGTTCAGTTCACATGGGCACCTGTGAACTTTAAGGAACTCAGTGGAGTGTGTGTCTGTGTCTGTACAGCTGAAAGCAACATTTGGTTTGGCCTTAGTAAGGAGGACGCCTTTCTTATGCTACCTTATAGTAGGATTTGTCCTGTTTCTTAAGGTATTCAGGCCAGGATAATGGTAGCTGTACACCTTATTATGTTGGTAGTATGACAGCAGCAGCATGAAATATGCTGTTTAATTGTATTTCAGTGAACTAAGAGTTTTATTCACAGCTTGGTTAACTTTTCAAATAATGATAGTTGCCGCCAGGCTTTGCCACAGCAAGCTAGATGGTCTTTTGATGACCTGGGGATGAAGTTATCTGTGTTTAGAATGTCCGTCCTTGGTTTTCTTCTGCATAATTGACCAATAATTTAATATACTTCTGGCTTTGAAAATAAGTTTTTTCCTATGTTTAAGACTACATCCTTGCTCCTCTTTGCATTGTAACTGCTAACATGTTTTTCCTGTTCTCTTTTCTCAGGGCTCACAACAGCATTAAGCTAGAATTTTCCTGTTAACTCTGTTATTTACAAAATGGCTGTTGCTTGATGGCAAGAAGATGCAAGATCCAGGTCTTACTGTTTGTTGTGAATTTGTGCGACCATCATTGGCACCATCAAGTCAGAAGTGATTATATGAGAGTGCAGATTTTCTTTTTACGATAGAACATTAAGTAAGCTAAAACTATCAACATGTTAAACCAAATTGCCTTATTTTTCTTCCAAACTTCATATATGTATCAGGTAACATAGGCTTGAAAATGGATATCCTGTGGTGCTAAAGTACTTTAGAAAGAGGCGGAGATGTGTATAAATGTTTATTTTTAGAAGAAAATGTACAAAAAGGGGAATTTTAAAAGTATGTAACAGCTGTTTATACTTTGATTCTTATTGCTGATTAATATGTATTGCACAACCGTGTTACTAATTACAGTTCTGGGACCTGGGATGTTCTGAAATGGCAAGACGTGGTATTACCAACCTATAGCCTCCCAGTCTGCCCAGTTGCCAACAAGTTTCCAGAAATGTGTGGTAAATGGAGAGTATAGTGTAACGTAGCAGAGGAGCTGCTTCTTGGGTTGCCCCCTATAAAGTTTGTATCCACAAGTGAGAGATTTTTGCACCAGCTGGCAATAGTGAGAGCTGTTACTTCTGATGGAAACGATAGCCCAGGCCAGGATGAAATAAATAAATAGCGTTATCTCAAGAAAAATGGTGCTTGTGATACTGTCACCATCATAGTTTTAACTTTGTGTTTTGTCTTTGCCACATATTCTAGGATGGTATTTTTCTGTTGCCATAAGACATCTTTATGGTGGGGGCAAACTTTGCACTTAACTATACGTGCAACACTTGCACTTTACTTTTTTTTTTTTCCTCCAACTGTCGAAAATTAGAGCAGATGCATTAGAATTACAATTGCTTTTGCTGTGAACTTTTACAATCATGGCTTTTCATGTTACTAAACAGCTGTGTGTTTTTTGTTCTTTTTTTTTTTTTTTTTAAGAATCACAACTGTAAATTTCAGTTCATGACACATGTCTACATGATGTTGCCCCAAGATTTTTTTTGCACACTATATTCTTGTATATTATTTCAAATAAATTCATTAAAATTTGGTGTTGTGTATTTTGTAAACTACAGAAGACTTAATCATTAAGTCAGTCCTGCGCAGATGAGCAAGGTCTGCGTGAAAAATCTCTATATGAACCCATACTACATTTGCAGAATAGCTTTTACCAGCTCTACTTGGTTTATGTATTTTGATGCTTTGTAGTTAGGAAGTTGCTGAAGAATTTTAAATACTGAATTCAGGATTGGATAGTGGATATTCTTTATTATACTTTAAGCAAAAAGAAAAAATAAAACCAATATAAATTATTTCAAAGCAATGCAAGTGCTAGAATCATTTACATTATTTGTAAATATTTTTCTTTGTGTTAAACTTAATGATTTTTAGAAGGAAAGAATTCTAGCATTTCAAAGTACGTATTTCTGAATAAGGCTAACGTCCATTCAACTCTAAAACTGTACTTGTAGGAAGAGAGCTACTTCTGCATTTGAGCTATTTAGTAGTTCAAAATTTGAGTATGTTCTAATGTTTATACCTTTCTAAATTCAAAAGGAGGGCTAGAGAATGATTAATTTTCATTAGATGTATTATACAATTATACAATTTCATTATAATATTTGTGTAACGTAAGTTCCTATGATGATGAGAACAGAAAGCGAGCTACTAGAAAGTCATAGACAAGTAGGTAGACACATTTCATTGTAAAGCTTATGTCTTCAGAACTAATTTACATCACCCCTAAGTATGTGGCACCAGAGAACCACGACTGTCTTGCTGGCCGGCCTCTGTTGTGAGGAGTGGTCCAAAACGTTCACTGAAGGGCGGACACCGCTTTCTGCAGCAGCTGAACCATTATGGGATAGACTGGTGCAAACTCCTTTCCTTCTTTAGTTCTTACTGATTGAACGTAAGCTTCCAGTGCGCCTCTAAAGAAATTGAGAGATAGTTAAAACAACAAAATCGTGTACAAGT